GGGGTCCTGTATCATAGATTCGGGGCAGCGGATAGTCAGTAGGCCCCTGCACCGGCCCTGAACAGGACTAATGGATTTTATTTTTTAATCCAACATATTCTTATGATATGAAATGATATTTATAGTGGATACCTGTTTATTAAGTTTTCTCGGGTGCGTAGGCCGGTAGACGAAATAAACAGTGTTTTTTAAATTTCAAAAACGGACCGCCTACTCAAATAATGGTACTACCCACCATAATATTCGTCTGAAGAAATAAACACATATACAACAAAAATAAATAAGAATATTTATTTGCTTTTTTTAAAATTCGACCATCCCTATGTAGCAGACTCTTCTACTGACGTAGAAAAATCAAACACGCAAAAAATATATTGGTTTTTATTTTTATATATGTGAATTTTTATTTATTTTTATTTTTCTATATTTTATGGTGTTATTTATATTTGTTTTTTTATTTTTATATATTTATAAGTATTTGTAATTTTTAGATTATATACCACAACTTTCCAAAAAACATTATTAAAATTAACGTCCCATAATGGTTGGTACATTTAGTGTATGAAATGTGTAGGCAAGTGGAACAATTATTATGGGACAGAAGTAGTAGTAATAGAATACCTCTGTCCCATAATGGTTGGTACATTTAGTGTATGAAATTTGTAGGCAAATGGGACAATTATTATGGGACAGAAGTAGGATTATATAAATATAATAGACTACCCTGTCCCATAATAGTTGGCACATTCAGTGGATGAAATTTGTAGGTAAATGGAACAATTATTATGGGACAGAAGTAGTATTATATAAATAATAATAGACTACCTTTGTCCCATAAAGTTTGTGACATTTAGTGTACATAATATGTAGGTAAATGGAACAATTATTATGGGATCTGTGTATTACTTTTATATATGTGTATTTTTTATGGCATCTTCATATATTTAATTATTATTATTACTATTTGCTTTGTGTTCAAATCAATCTCTTATCGAATCGCTACCCGAGGCCTGGGGTAAGGCAAGGTTGTAAATATATGCACTTTGTTTACATAAATTTTAATGTTGAATGAAATGGTACAAACACATATTTACTAAATTCGACATCTTTACTTCTTTTGATCAGAATATTCTTCTGTGTAGATGACCAATTCCACACGGCGACATTTTTTTTAAAATTTCTTATAAGCTGGGACTGCCAGGGATTTTGTTAATGTTCTTGCCAGTACCTTTTTTTTTATCGTACCCAGTACTCCAATTATTATAGGTATCACAAACAGTCGTTTTAAGGGGACACTTCTTTTTTTCAGCTTCAATTTCAAGGTCCTGAATTTGTCATATTCTTAAACAGATATATTTATCAAATATATATATATATATATATATATATATATTCTTAAACAGATATATCTTACTGCCATATGTATGACAGGGTATTCAATTTGTATTTTTTAATCAGCGTATCTTTAATGTCAATTTATTATTATTATTATTATTATTATTATTATTATTAGTTATTTGTCTACAGTATGATCATAAAATTATTAACTAGTTGCTTACACAGGGGAATATGTGACAACAAGTCCCCTGGCTTCTCCAGCACCCTCCATACCATTCTAGCAAAGTTAAAATATATCGCTCTTTTTGATGGTCCCGACTCTTCTTCCGCTAATTTCCTGTTGTTTCAGTTTTTTTCATAGGCCATTTGGGACTGTTCCCTGTACTCCTATAACGAATGGTACGACTATTATTTTACGTTATGCGTATTATATTACTTTATCCATGCCATCAAAAAGCAACAATCGATTTGAAATAATTTTCCAATTGCACTGTACTTGTAAAATCTCAAAAGCTTGTCGTATATTTTATTGTCTATATTGAATACTTCCAGACATTTTATTTGACATCATATACCGAGTGTAACAGCAAAATTGTCCAAATTTTGTAACAGCATGCGACAATTGTCCATTCCACAAAATGTTTAATATCTAAAAAAAGCACTAAACTAATTGAGTTTCTTTTTTCCATGTTTTCAGATAAGACGTTTATCCATTTTGACACCATCTGTTGTAAGAATCATTGAAAAACCCTTTCCATTATTCAGCTAGCTAGAAACAGAAGAGGTTGAAATCGTTTTGTGTCAGCCCCACTGTCATCTCAACTGAGCAATGGTAAGGGGAAAAAGATCATTCAGTCGTTCAGTAATGGTACCAACATTCATACTCTGTCTTCCTTCTTAAAATTCCATTCAAGAACCATCAAGAGAACGATGAATAATCTTAAAAAGAGGGGAATAGCATAGAGAGAATCTGGATCAGGCGGTCACAACAGGAGGAGGGATCATCTTTTCAGCTTAGAGCTGAATACATTCTTCTTGTTCAAAGTAGAGTCCAATAATGCTATAAAAAAATCTCGGAGAATTCCAGTAAGATATCTTTAATCATTTCTAAGATACAACGATTCAAAACAATTGGACAATTTTGCTGTTACACGATTTGGGCAATTTTGTTGTTACACCCGGTATAACGTTTGAAGTAACACACACACACACACACACACATATATATATATGTATATATAGATAGATAATATTAGTGGTCAATGTGTGTGTATATATATATATATAAATTCCCAAGAGGATAGAATCCAGGTATATATATATATATATATATATATATATATATATATATATATATATATATATATAATTTCAAACGTTATTATGGTGGATACTTATATACAGGTAGTAAGTAGTTGGCATAATCCAAGCGAGTTCTATTAACACAATATAGAATTTAAAATATTAAATATTAAAACTGACCTGACACACAAAGAGCTCTTAATGTTTATTTTCATTAAACAGAGCAAAATATTTCCTACAATTGGAATTAAGATACCATTAGTGAATGATCATTTTCACCCGCGAATTTTAAATCTAAAATTCACAGGATTTTTCAAACTGTGTATATATGTTTTATATATCAATATATATAATATATAAAATTGTATTTTTACAGCATCATCAAACGAATCCATTACAAAGAGATGGAAAAATTTACTTCTCTTTATTTAATGGAGTTGGATTCATTAAATTTATTTTGGAAAGGCATGACTCAATTTTCTCCCCCATCTATAGGTTAGATCGGTCAGTTTTTCTGACCTTCTACAGTTGAATGTGCCCGGTATTAATTTGTTATTGTTCTTATGTTTATAAAATGAAAATACTTTACAAAGAATATATGTATCTGAAGACGGTCGGAGAAAACCAGAAGAGGAGAAAACAAAGGTAAAGAAAACATACGTTATGGTCATCAACATAAAAACCAGAATCTGTAGTGCTAAATAGTTTGCTATTTAATGTAATAATAAACAAAACTGTACTAACACACATATAAACAAAACCCGCCCATGAACGATAGGGTGATTGAAAAGTAACTCCTTATTTTAGGTATGAGTGGCCAGCCAGAAGTCCTGACATTAACACCCCGTGACTTTTTTCTTTGGGGTTCTTTAAAGGAGCAAGCCTACTATACCAAACCAAGACTTTGGAAAAAGTTTAAAGAATGAATACAATAAGTTATATTTTCCATACCACAAGAGTTCCTGGTGAAATCAGCTGGCGCGATTCCTGGGCGGTTCGAGAAGCTGATAGCGAAATCTGCTGCTCATATCGAATTTTAAATAAAACCTCAGGCTAAAACGCTTTCCTCTCGTATTAATTTCTTGTAAAAATTATAGTTAATAAATTAATTATAATTATTTTAAAATGGGGAGTCACTTTTCAATCACCCTGTATATATATATATATATATATATATATATATATAAAAAACCAGGAGATCAGTTAACTGATCTGATTTTTAAAATTAAATCTCTACATGTTATTTTTAATTTTACTTTATTTTTTCACACATGTATTGAACACCTTTTAATATTCTGTTTCCAGATCTGATTAACTCTAACCATTAACTTTGAATGTATTATATATATATATATATATATATATATATATATATATATAAAGATGAAAAAATATAGTTTTATGGTGTGCTATATTTATGGGATAAAGTGCTCAGTATCAGAGAGAGAGAGAGCGTATGTAAATATAAATATAAAAGTGAACAATGTTTCATGCTAGGATCATTCGTCAGGCGATTCCGCCTAGCGTGAAACAGCCTGTCGCCTCTGAGTGTTGACTTCAATGTCCACTTTTATATATATATATATATATATATATATATATATATGTATGTATTACTTCAGAAGTTATTATAGTGGACTCTTTTTATTTATATTTTAATTTAAATATAATATCATTTAAAAAGGCACAGGACGATAAACACAATAAGCACAGTTTAATAAATAATAAATAATAAGGGACGTCTATTTCAAATACGGAGTATTCATTATACTTAGGTTTGAAGTAATATATATATATATATATATATTATTCAGTAATTAACGTACACGTGTTTTAAGTAGTGTTCCCTGTTTTTAAACCGAGATTTCCTTTAAATACTAATGAAATTATTTAAATACTACTTTTATTCTTTAAAAACAAAACAGGATTATCTAAACAAACAAGCGTACCGAATATATATATATATGTGTGTGTGTGTGTTTGTGTTTGTGTGTGTGTGCTTGTGTTTGTGTGTTATTTTGAATTTGTGTGTGTGTGTGTTTAAAGTCCATTGAAACAAAACAGGCTTCTCTACACAAACACGTGTAGCGACGAAATCTGATGTTTATAGAAATAATAAGAAATAAGGTTGAATTTTTTAAAAAAAGACATCAGTTATTGCTTATGTTTAAATGCGGAAAGGAAAAAAAACGTTTTCCTCGCAGTTAGTGAAAAAGAGAAAAAGGGCTTCTTGACATAACAGAAAAATAACGAACAAGAGAAGTCCTTTATCAATCATTTTTAATGAAACACGTATACGAGGAAGAATTATGTGATTCCTTTTAACAGATAAATAGATAGCTAGATAGATATGAAGAAACTGATAGATAGATAGATAGATAGATAGATAGATAGATAGATAGATAGATATGAAAAACTGATAGATAGATATATAGATAGATAGATAGATATGAAAAATTGATAGATAGATAAATAGAGATAGATAGATATATAGATAGATAGATATGAAAAATTGATAAATAGAGATAGATAGATATATAGATAGATAGATATGAAAAATAGATAGATAGATATGAAAAACAGATAGCTAGATAGATAGATATGAAAAACTGATAGATAGATATGAACAACTGATAGATAGATAGATAGATAGATATGAAAAACTGATAGATAGATAGATAGATAGATAGATAGATAGATAGATATGAAAAACTGATAGATAGATAGATAGATAGATATGAAAAACTGATAGATAGATAGATAGATAGATAGATAGATATGAAAAACTGATAGATAGATAGATAGATAGATATGAAGAAACTGATAGATAGATTGATAGATAGATAGATATGAAGAAACTGATAGATAGATAGATAGATAGATAGATAGATATGAAGAAACTGATAGATAGATTGATAGATAGATAGATATGAAGAAACTGATAGATAGATAGATATGAAGAAACTGATAGATAGATAGATAGATAGATAGATAGATAGATAGATATGAAGAAACTGATAGATAGATAGATAGATAGATAGATAGATAGATATGAAGAAACTGATAGATGAAACAAACTGAGATAGAAAGAGAAATCAAGATAGATAATGAAGATAGACAATGAAAGTAGATAATGTAGATAGATAAATAGATATATACATAGACAGATAATGAATATAGATAGATAAATAATGAACAGACGGAAATAGATGGATTGATAATGAATATAGATAGATAATGAATATAGATAGATATATAATGTTAGATAGATAGATAGATAGATAATGGTATATAGATAGATGATGAACAGACTTATTTCAAGTGATTTAACATGATCAGAATTCCAGTTCGAGCCTTATTGTGTATATAGTTATTGTAATTAATACTCAGATTATTTATGGAGGGAATAATTATCCATTTTTTTCAGTTGATATATTATTTAGTCGGTACATTTAAGGAATCAATAGCGGCACGGATGCTGTTCTCTTTTCAATTTACATACATATATGTACACACACACACACACACACATACACATATAGAAAAAAGAAAGAAGGAATAGTGGAGAAGAAATAGCCACGACATTCTTCACATGTGCACATGCACACACCTACACATGGGTGCATAAACACATCTACACACACACACACACACACACACACACACACACACACACACACAAAGAAGAAGAAGAAGAAGAAGAAGAAGAAAAATTAATCTAACACCAATAAAAAGCGTATAAATTATTTTTTTAACTTAATAGAAAAATAACGAAAAAAAGGAAATCGGCAGGCAATTGCTGATATCTACTGACGAGTGGACCAAATGATTACAAAATGTTTCGTCTACGAAACTCTGGAGTCGGAGTGCTGTATATAACATCAATCAGCTCAGTGAAAAATTTGATATTTGTATTAATCCTATGTCGGTATCTATCTATCTATCTATCTATCTATCTATCTATCTATCTCGGTCTTTTTATAACTATCACTCCAAATTTGGTCATTATCTATCTATCTATCTATTTGTGTGTGTGTGTGTGTGTGCCTATTCAAACGTGCGTATACTGCGTGCGATGGTTAAACTGTCGTCTAAATTTCGCAAAAATGAAAACAACATTGATATTCTTCTTAAGAGATATATTTACCAAAATTACACAAAAAAATATCTTAAAATACTAATGAGTAAATTTATTCAATAAAATCGCCATTAACTCCAACCACGGCCTCCAGACGACTTCGGAATCTCCTGCAACTCTTCTGAAAGGTTTCCTTCTTTAAGTTGGTGAATTCTGCCATAATCCTTGCCTTCAGTTTATCTTTGGTGTTACAAGGAGTTTTCTTGGTCTCACTCAACTGCCCCTACACATGATAACCGAGAGGGTTACAGTCTAGGGAGTTAGGTGGCTAATGGTTGGTCACTCGTATTGGAGGATACCCGTCTACAATGGCGGCTAGCTAATCCCTGTTGCAGACGCTTTCTCATGCGTATTTTGTGTTGTTTTCAACACCCACAGAGCCGACCTGTGGTTTATGCTGCAACTAAGCTGAGCAGACCTTAGTTACAGTTTATGGGAGGGAAGCGTGTTATCTAGCGTGATCAACAATCTGAACACTCAAATCCTCGCTCACGATGACTTGTGATTTCGTGCTAGCACAGCGAAGGGTTCCGTCTACACAATTTCACTCAAAAGTCTGGCATCGCCTGCCCCAGACAGATAACATCAACAAGTCACCTTCCTGACAAACTGACTTTGGTGAGATTTGAACCTGAGTCTCAAATTCGGAAAACCAACGTTCTAACCAATTTGCCACGATGAACCGTAAAAACAAAAGCGTTAACCAATTCTTAATTTTCGTTTACTTTAAATGCAAAGTTTGGAGTATTCAGTTTCCAAATGTCTCTCGTGTTTGTTTTAGTCATGCTTTTATATATATATATATATATATATATATATATATATATATATATATATATATATATATATATATATATATATATATATATATATATATTATATGCAAAAATAATGACGTAATAATGTCGTTTTTTGACGTATTTTTAACGTCAAAAACGACATTATTACGTTATTATTTTTGCACCAACCTAATATATATATTATGAAATGGACAAAGTCCAACAATTATTTTAAGACATTTTATGTTTAAACATTCTTTTTATAGATACAAATATTTAAAAGTCTGTTTATAATAAACACTATTAAACAACATTTACCGACCTGAATATCCGAGAAATTTTCGAATCCTGTCGGAGAACGAATATTTTCTATGAAAATTTCCAGGACATTCAGGCCGGTAAATGCTGTTTAATACTGTTTATTATAAACAGAGCATTTACTTAAATATTTGTTTCCATAAAAAGAATGTATAAACATAAAAATGTCTTTATATATATATATAATGCCAATACCCTTGGGAAAGATATGAATCCTCTTCTTCTTCCTCCAGCTATGGGAAAATAGCAAGGCAGATCGGGGTCTATCTATAGCCTTGGATGGTAATGAGTATACCTCAGAAAGAAATGGCAACGGACTGCGTGAAAAAAAAAATCTGCATTGGCATTCATGTATCGAAAGATACATGATCGCCTAAGCGTGTATCACTCATGGCACATAACTGAATCGGAGGAGCGAGTTCGAGTTCCAGTTGAATCCATTACATTCACTTACGTACTATTAACCTTGGGAAAGGTATGAATCCTCTTCGTCTCACACCAGCTACGAGTAAATAGCAAGACAGGCCGGATTCTATAGCCTTGGATATACAACTGGTCTACCTCAAAAAGAAATGGCAACCTACTGCGGGAAAATAAATCTGCCTCGTCAGTCATGCATCGAAAGATACATGATCGCCTAAGCATATATCACTCATGGCACATAATTGAATCGGAGAGCCAAGTTCGAATTCCAGTTGAATCCATTACGTCCACTTACGTACTAATAGACGTAGGTCCTTACTTTCCGTACAAACAATTATTTTTATTTCATGGGTGACTTTCGCTGGATTTCACAATTAATTTTGATTATTCCCAAATTTATTTCCAAGTTATAAAAAAAAAAAAAAAAACAGACAAAAAAATTTCTCGCAAAAACTCACGTGAAAAATCGCCGAAACCAAATGAAAACTTGGGGATCCAAAATTTCATGATTGCGTGTCTGAATCCAGATCCAGCCCGAAATGTTTTTAATTTGCTCACGGAGTCGGCCTGATTCCAAAATGGTATAATATGTTGGGTTAGAGCCTCTAAAAGTGATGTTGAAAACACGGACAAGTTTATTTTGAAACACTGTAATTTGAGAACAGTAATTTTTTTATTCATTTGAATATAAGTCATTGAAAGTTAGAGAGTTGTGTCCCTTTAATTGTTTTTATCAATAGAAGCCAAGATGGCGGAATGCGAAAGCAATCGCAGCAGTGAAAACTTGGGAAACCTAAATTTCAGGATTACGGGTCCGGATTTGGCCCGGAATGATTTTAATTTGCATATGGAGTCGGCTTGATTCCAAAATGGTATGATACGTTGGGCTACGGACTCTAGCCGTAAAGTTAAATGAGTGTGACACAGTGACACACTGACATTCGCATTTATATAGATGATGAACTGGAATCAAATATGAATTGAAATTCAATAAAATAAGTAAGCCTTTTTTATTAAAGAAAAAAAAAAATGATCCCAAACTTTAAATATAATTAATTATGAATACGATCACAATGTTCTGGTCGTATTTGGAAATTAAGAATATATCTACATTCAGCAACATGTATATCATGTACAATAGTACTTATACAGCATTTATTATAGTAGTATAATAAAAAAAAAACGTAATCTTTAAAAATGGATAACAGTTTAACTGAAAGCGCTCTGATTAAACTTTGGGTCAGTTTTTGCATTCATTTATTCCAGAAAAGAAGAATATGTATAAAAGAAAAACATAAGTCGCCTGTCAGACTTGTTCAAAGAAACGTGTTGTAAAGAGAGACTGCTGTCAAAATAGGCATTGATGATCAATTTTAATAAAATATAATTCCATAGATAGATAGATAGATAGATACATAGATACATATTGAATAGATTCACATAGACGGGAAAAGATAGATAGATAGATAGATACTGAATAGACTCACGTAGACAGATATAAATATATATATATATATATATATATATTTGGTTTGATAGATGTGAGTTTGTGACCCTGGGTTTCACGCTTTAGCGATCGTCAGACAAACTGATTAATGTTTTTAAAAATTTGGGTTTATGTAGATTGCGTGTATTGGTGTTATTGTGGAAGTGGTGGGGGAAATTTCGTCGTTTTGTCATTCATCGTACTAACGCAAACATCGATGTATGCAGACACATATACATATACATACTTGGTCGTCCGTCGGGACTCATACATATATATAAACATATGTAGACAGTTTCGGCTATGACACATGTATGTATACGGGTGGTGTTATGTCTATACATACGCATTTGTATGTTGAAATGTTGAAATTTAAACATTGGAAGTGTGGCGGAAATGTCTCGTTATTGTCTCGTGAATGTATCCATGTCATATTATGAAATTTTTTTTTTTTTTTTCCGTTGAAAAATATTTTCTCGCATGTGTGTATATATGTGTGGTGGGGTTTGTGTAAAATTATGATAGGTAAAAATTATTATTATAATTATTTATATTTATTTTTAAATTTTTGAAAAAAATGGGGGTTTATTTGTTATATTTAAAGCTGGTTATTTGTTTGTTTTTGGTGACTGTATATGTAACAGGTAAAAAATTGTAATCCTTATTGTTTAATTTATATGGTGATGTTTAATTTAATAACGGGTTTATATGATATGATGTGATAGTAATGTTTCAAAGGATAGGAGACAATGCTATTTAGGTTTTAGCTAATAGTTATTGTAAACTGGAAGAAATTGCAGATTAGTAGAAATGATTAGTAACGGTGGTGGGAGAATGATAAAACCATGAATGTAGTTATAGTGGTGGTAGCTTGAACTAAAAAGTGGTTGTTGGTGTTTTATTTTGTTTTATTTTGTTATATGTATTATTTTTATTTTGGTATAAATCCTGATAATAGGTATTCTATGTAAAATTATGGTAGTTGAAGATTGCTATAATTTTTAATTACAAAATTATTATTATTATATTAAAGCTGCCTGGTAATAGGTGTTTGTTCTCATGGTTACATGGAAATTATATCTGATCATATTTTTTTAAAGTATTAAATATGCTGGGGGGTAATAAAGATTGTAGTGGATTATATGTTAATAGTGGGTGTGATGTGTAAGTGATGGTGTTGTGTGTAGGTGGTAATGATAATATTGATAGTTAATAGATATTGTAAGGTGGTAAAAGTGATTACTAATGGTGGTGCAATTATAATAATGATAGGTGCAATTATTTTGATGGTATATTGAAATTAAATTGTGATTGTTGGTGGTTTGTCTGTTTTATCCGTTTGGTATGAATTCGGATAATAGATACTTGTTCTCATGCCTACATTTGGAGATTATCTCTGATTTTTTGTTTAGCAAGTTCTTTTGCGGTTTGTGTGATATTA